ACATCTTGCTTGTTTGTAGGTGACCAAATACTTATTTTCCACCATGATTTGCAAATAAATTCTTTAAAAATCAGACTGGATCATTTCTGGATTTTTCCCCCCATTTTGTCTCTCATAGTTGAGGTATACCTATGATGAAAATTACAGGCCTCTCTCATCTTTTTAAGTGGGAGAACTTGCACAGTTGGTGGCTGACTAAATACTTTTTTGCCCCACTGTATTTCACATCCCCCGATGTGTCTCAAAGTCAGTTCTTCGCAGTGAGGCCGGCATGAGTAGAATTGAGACTGGTGCTCGGTTGGGCCAAAATGTACTTTCCCCCTGTAGGGCTGACATCCCGGATCCTCACTGACCATTTGGGGACATCCTGGGCCAAAATAATAGGTAAAACATGGGAGCTCCTTGGATTTTCGCTAACCCAACTTAGCACATCCGGGTATGAACGGGCAGCCGATTCAAGATGTTGCTCTCCCGTTAGATCTGGCCTCTCTTCCCACGGACCTCCTCCGGACCAGTTCGTTCACCCTCTTTAGACTTGCTTGATATCTGGGCCGAATCCAATCCCTAAGTACAGGAGGGACCCTCCTCGGCTCAGTTTGGGGCTCTGCCTGCTGCAGCCCAGAAGGGGTTGCACGTGGGCTAAGGTTGGCCCAAGCCACGAAGGGGCGTCGGAACTGCTAGACACATTTTATTACAGTGCTCTCTTTAGGCTGGCACACGGTCAGAGTGATTACCCCTTGTGACTGTTACTCTAAGTGTAACTAAATTCTGCTATGTCATAAAACACGCAGACAACTGAAAAGTGCAGTTAATTTTACAATGTGTTCTTTTTATATGTAACCTGTTTTTTCTATTGAGTTTTATTCTGCGTTGGTTTTTTTACTACCATTTTGAATGGTAAGTAACTTTATTACAGTTACCTACAACCCGATGATTAATTCCACTTAAAACAAATTGGCCAATTGTTATGTGCACAGACTAGCTCAGAGAGGAAGCCGCTAGTCGGCGTGAGAGATCTGACTAGGGAGCAGAAGCTTCAACAGCCGTTTTGTCTGATGACAGCTTGGAGCTCCATTCAAAGCAACACAGTTTTAAGAGGAACTAGACAACCTTGGGACCCGTTGGGTCATCCTTTGAAAGGTAGTGCAGTCTGATGTGACCAGAATGAACATTAAATTTTAGGCTGACCGTATTTTTTTACCCCAACACTGGACAGTCCCGTGATCATCTGAGACTATATATTTTAAATAGAAAAATAATTGTAGTGGCAAATGAACTTCAATTATAAGTCAATATTTACTTACCTAAACCAAGAAACTGAATGACCACTGGCAGGCAAAAAAGCAGTGGGAGCGGGAGCAACTTCCGACTTCCTGCCAGCTTGCCCATTGTCTTTGCTTGTGGGAAGCTGGCAGGGAGCATTGGAAATCATGATCACATGACCGCGGGGATGCTGCAACAGCCACATCTTTGTGAATAAAACTGGTCTGAACATCATGGAAATTTCAGTTCCACAGGAGTAACGGGTCCCAGATTTTTTAAGCATTCTTTAAGTTAGTGGATTTTAGGTACCTTGATTCAAAAATTATTGAGGTATAATGCACCATTTAGGCTAACTTGAAGGTACAAACAGACAAACAGATAAACACAGTGAGAGTTTTAGTAGTATGCAGATAGATAGTTCAAAGCATGCCGTGTCCTGTTTTTGCACAAGGGCCACATTTGACCTTGTGAAGCCCACCAAAGAAGTTTATTCCAAAACGTTGTGGGCCTGGCAGAGCCACTGCCCTTTTTCACACCCCTTTTTCACCCTAGCTGAAAAAGTGATGTAATCAGCGTCATCCACAAGGTGATAATGATTAGGCTGATGCAGCCCTGAGTGTCTCCCCTTGTTTTTATCCACGGCCTTCCCGGGCTTTCTCTTTGGGGCCTGGGCGTTCCTTCTGCAGAGGCGGAGCAGCTCTTCCTTGTTGGGAAAGCCTGTCTGGTGGGCGAGGTGCCTGCGCTGTTGTCTCAAGCCAGAGCAGCCTGGTGCTTGGAAGGCGTCTCCCTGTGTGGCACGAGGGGGTGCAAAGAAGCGGGCAGGGATCTCACTGACTTCTACCCCCTGCAATGATTTGGTGGAAAATACTGTTACCGCCAGTGGAGGAAATCACCACAGACTTGCTCCATCGATGCTTTTTGAATGTTTACATTTTTCTGTCCTCTTCACGTTAGTCCTCGATTCCCACTCAGAAGGGTGCAGGGGGCTCATGGCGGTTTGAGAACAGCGGGTCTCCCGTGGTGCTCTCAGGCCGATACCGTAATGTCACAGAAATTCGTCCCGCAGTCTGTTGAAACAGGCAGGAGCGACACACGTGCATGAGGCGTGGATCTGAATTTCCCGCGTCATCCTTGCCTCGAGAAAGTTTCCCATTCCAGTTGTTCACCCACCCCTCCAGGCATATCCAGTTAAGTGATTGCCATTCAAAGTCTGTTGTCAGTCTTGAGAGGTAATCCGAACAAGCAGCACATCCAGGAGTATAGCTCTATCTTTATCGTAAGGTTACATTAACAGAATCTTGCGAGTCTGAAAGCACATCTCCCCCCCACCCCACCTCGCCTTTACAGTCCAAGTGGCCAGGGAGGATCCCTTCCGAGACGCTTGCCAGGCCCCCGTTCCTTCTGCAGGCTCCGCTGCCGCTTATCTGACCGTTGTCTAGTCTGCAGCACTTCCTCCTGTCCCCAAGGTCACTCCCGCAGACCATCACCTCTCTTTATTTCCACAGATCTACCTGTTTCTGAGCAGTCGCAGAGTGAAATGCCAACGTATGTTAATATCCCTACAAGCCCCACAGCGAAGAAACAACTTCATTACATGGAGGTGGAGCTTCAGGAGCCCAGTACGAGCATTCGAGGTAAGAATCTTTGAAAAGGACCAAACAGGCAGCTGCTGGTTTTGAACAAATTTTCCATTATATTCTGAGCTGCACTAAGAATCACAATAAGCCTTGGGAATATAAAGCTTCTCTCTCTCCCGCCTCTGAACCTGGCTAGAGTCAAAAGTAGCCGCAGCTATTTCATTAAGAAAGCAGTGAGGGGCAGTCAGAACGTTTGGTTCGGCCTGCGGTCTGGAGGTCTTCCCCTCCAAGTTCTACCAGCACAGGAGGGAGGGAGCACTAGGTTCTCCTAGCCCCAGTTCATACACTTTATAATAGGGAACTCTTAATACATACTTGAATCCCTTTTTTAAATTCAACAGAAAACCTACAATGACTTATTGAATACAGCCATATAGGATTAGTGGGCTAAATACTGAAGTTCATGCCTAGAGGATCTGTGGCAGAACTGTTCTTAATCATTGTTAGACACTTTCTAATTTCCCCTAATTGACAGCCCACCTGTAAAAATGGATGTAAGGCTGATTACTCCATGGAGTAGTCATTATCGGTTGCTTGTGAAACCCAGAGACAGGTGTATTCAGAGAGGTTGATATTTTCAGATATGGATGGAACAAAGTAGAGAATATATTGATGAATTTTCAGATGATAATATGGAAATAAGAATCACTGCAAACCTAAAGAGTTAGGCTAAAGATCAAGTGATGCTAATGAACTATCATTTAGTTGACTTAGACGTTAACATAGGCGCTCCCTAACCAAGATTAAAACTAAACAGAGGCTTGAAGACAGAGAATCAGTCTGGCTTCCACAAAAGGAAGTTCTGTCTTACCAATTTTTAGAGTTCTGGATATTGAACTTTAAAAAGCTGTTAACAAAATTACTCAAAAAAGTCTCCTGAAAAGACTTGATAGGCCATGTGCTGAAAAACCAGTTCTCTTATGGATCTGCAGTTGGTTGAAAAAGAAGAAGAAAACTCTGTATCTCAGGATTGGGCAGCTTCCCAACGCGCTGACACTTCCCTTTGCCAGGCCTGGCCCAGCCTTAAAGGGACCGGCAGGACACACGTGGCCTCCGTTGCCCTGATAAAGCCCACTGTTTTTTCTTCCTGCCATGGAATAACTGCCTCTTCCTGTGAGCCTGAGGTTTGTGGGGCCCCTTGCTGAGCCCCAAAAGCGTTGGCGCCACATTTCTCCTTTAGGAGGGTTGCTCTGTTTCCCTACTAGACTTGGGAAAGTTCTCCACGGCTCTGAAGGCCTGTTCCTTTTCTAGCCTGGCTTAAAACGAGGAAGCAGAAAAAGGGACTTTGCCGCCAAGTGGTAGTGTCTGGAACATCGCCAGTGGGGCATTGTCTGTCTGTAAAGACCGGATGCGAATCTGCATCGTTCTTGTTGGACACGTTTCTCTTTTTTGTGGGTTGAGCTCCGCCAGTTGAACAGCTCGCAGTCCTCTGTTCTGACAAAAGGTCTCAGCCAGCAACTTCATTCTGCTGTAATGCTATGTTAATCTGACATCATATACATAATGGGACAGGAATTTAGAAATACCCTCAGGCGTGTTCTGCAATTGCAGACTCTTTCTTCGCTCAGGATAGCCAGGTTGCAATGTTGGCCAGGCCCAGGAAATTCCCTGTCCCTCCTCAGTTTGGAGATAAAACCTTAGGGACTTGTCCCTTCTGAAAGGCCCCTCAGTTGAGAAGTGAAATAGGCCACCAAAGCTCAGATACTGGATTAGGGTTAGGGCTTGCTTCTTCTTAACAGAAATTTTTAAAAAACACAACCCTGTGGAGGACAGCTTGAGAGAGAAAAAGGGAGCAAATGGATCGTAAAGGAGCAGGTTTATGCTTCTGCAGAAAGTTATATGTTGCTGAATATTACGCATTATCTGAATAACTAGCAGTTGAATGCGGGTCTATCAAATAAAGCTGTGACAGATAGAATCGGGGAGTGAAGTACTTCCGTGCCGCTTGAAAACAACATGAGAAAAATGGGAGACTTTCCCAGGGAAAACAAAGCATAGCTATACGGTGTCCTTTTAGGGAACCACAGTTTATAGACATGTTTAGTTTGAGTAATATGTTTGTTATTGTGACTCCAGGTTGTAATGACGTAACTTAACAGGAATGCAATACTGTATACAGTACATAAAAAGATATGTAACGTACTAAAAAGTAACTTCTACTAAAGCCAGTGCTACGATTCAGAACCTGAAAAGCTCTGAGTGTAGAAGGGGAAGAGTGCCAATGGCTGCCAACAAATGGAATTGCCCCGGCTCTTCCTAGCGATGTAGGACTGGTCATCAAGAGGCTAAAGGGGCTTTTATGTAGAGGGGAAGGAAGATGACTTGGAAGATGATAGGCGAGATCTGTTACCAGGCGAGGAGGGGAAGAGCGTATCTTAAGTCCGAAGCAAGCAGAAAAGGCCCAGACACCCCCCTGACTCACTGGGGTGTCAGAAGGGGGAGGAGGCCCGGCGCAATCCGACTCATGAGGTTCTGCCCCCAGAGCCGCTCTCGGAGCAGCCGCAGCCTTCCAGCGGAGCAGATTCTCGGCCTGGCCTGCCTGCTGGGGCTGACAGCAGTCTTGCAGGTCTGAATGTGCTGTACCTCCTCCCCTTCTGATACCCACGTGAATTAGGAGGTGTCTGCCTGAGTCTCTTGTGCATATTTTCTGCTTGTTTTGAACTTAAGGTATGTTTTTCCCCTCCTGTTGGGTAACGGATTTCGCCTATCTCCATCAAAGTCATCTTCCTTCCTTTCTGCACTTGAGAACATGGGCTCCTCTCTGTCCTCCTCCCCACGGGGAGGCCCTGTGCAACCTGAACGGCCATTCCAGGGAACCTTACAGGTGCACTCCTGGAGGAGGGGGGGCGGGAGGCTGCCCCGAAGGAGCCAAACCGTTTGCTCTCTGAAGGCCCCAGAGACGGCGCTCCATCGCCCAGAACGAAGAAGGCCCTACCTTCGTTTTCAGTCCTAACGCAAAGCAGGATCCCCACTGTGCAGCTGCGTGCTGGCCCGTGCCAGGGCAATACTGTACGGCCCATGTCATGCTTTTACATGCAGGGGGCGAATCCGCGAAATATGCACAGATCGATATTACCGCAACAGAGACGGCCCATAAGGTGGGGACGCAGCACGCCCAATTTCGAGAAGAACGTCTGCAAGAACTTGAGCAGCAGAAGAAAGATGGCCAGCCTGGTTCTTCCTAGGGAGATGCAGGTTAACCACCGCCAGCCCGGTACTTGGGTTCCTTCTATTAAATGTTGCCCCCACGTTCAGATTAGTACCAGATTCATTCCAATTTATTCATTTCCAGCTGGAAAACTGGCGGTATGACGTGTGCATTTGTGTGTCTGTCCCTCTGCAAAGGCACTCATTGTAAACATGTGGTCTTGTCATTTTGTAATATCTTGCCCAATGAGGTATTAGATACAAATGACTATTAGATTGAGGCATTTCAAGAACTTTGAGTAAAAGAAAAGTAAATAGAACAAAATATTCAAGAAATATTGGTCTGTACAGTGTACGTATTGATCAAATTACCATTGTTAAGAGTCAAAATGGATTTCGGTTATTTTTCAAAAAGCCAAAGGACACGTCTGCTTGTTTATGACCGGGCTGTTAGATGAAGAGTGAATAGCGTTAAACAAACACACTTGGTTTTGCTAGCCTGCATTCTTTTGTTTATTAATTACTTGGGTTTTGTGGCTGGAATCCACTGGGTCATTCCACCTGTTGTTCCAGAAGACAGTGTTTCTTGTGGGAAGTGGATGGTTTTTGTGGATTCTGCTTTCCCCTGGGAGTGCCTTGTGGCATCTTCCTTCCACACAGTTCTGGAAGCCTTTGGGGGGATCAGCCAGAACTCCTTCTCGCCTTTTGTTTGTTTCTCTCTGGATCAAAAGCTGCTCTGTATGCAGGAAGACATCCTTGCATTCCACCCAGAGTAACTGATCTTTATTATTTATTATTTATCTGTTTTATGAAACATTAAAGTATGTTAGCTATCCTTAATGATTTCCCTAGTATGCATAATTACAGTTGGAGTTATAACTATTTTAACTAATAAATACCTTAATTGATCTAATATCAGGAACGCATCACTGTAAATGCCAAGAAGGCAGGGAAGAGACGTTTCTGTCTTAGGGATTCTCTGCTCTCCCGGGCAGTTGCCCCATCGCTAGAACAGGCAGATGGTGTGCCCCCCCATCAAAGTCTTTTTCTGCTCTGATCCCAGAGTGCACTTTCCCCTATGGCGTCACCTCACGCGCTCCCGTCTGCCTGGGGTGGAGTCCTTCAGCCTCTTGCGGTTCACGGGCCACTTTGCAGGGGAAGGATCCTTCAGCTGAGCCCGTCTGATGGCTTCCGTTTGCCAGTTCTGCTGAAGCACCACAGTGGTTAAGACCTTTGCTTAGCATGGTGGTTGCTGGTTTGAGATACTGTTGTATTTTTCTTTTAATTAGATTTTTTCTTTTCCTGAGTAGCTAGTTTCTCACATTGAACTCCTTTAAAAAAAATAAGTCCAACGGTTTACTGCTTTACCTTCTTTCCAGTTGGGTGAGGTAGAAGGGTTTTGTCCCAGCTACAGGTAGCCCAGAGGTTATGGGGGCTGCTCAGCAGTTCTGCCAGAGGTAGCTACAGAAGGTATTCGAGCAGCTGGGAATTGTCCAGTGGACGGAGGTGGTCACCTGTAATCCAGACTGACTCCTTTGCAACTGGTTGCCGAAGGATCTCAACCCAGATAGAATTTCCTTAAAGCTGCAGGAGGACAGGGCAGGAGAAGCTCAAATGCTGAGTGCAGATAAGCCCCAAGCTGTTGCCCGGAGCTTTAGACATGTTCCCTCCTGCACTTCCCCCAACTCTGGTGGACCTATAGCCTAGGATTCCCACAGTTCATTTCTGTTCAGTATTTGGTTGCAGCAAAACTAGCCGCATCATGTCTCAAGCACTGTGGGGGCATGCTTGAAACGTTTGGATCAGTTGAGATCCATTCCTCTAGCAGGGCGATAATCAGTCTTCTTTTTCCAATGTATTTGTTAAGGGGTGCCTGCAGGGTAAGAACGGAACAGTCAAGATGGTGACCGTGGTAGTGCCATTGACGTTCCACTCCTTTTCGACACGCATTAAAAAGCAGGTGGAGCTTTGATCACATCATACCCTGTGGACACCCCTGTACGTTTCTTATTTTAAATCTGCAATTTAGGGGGTGAGGAATTTGTTGTCCTCTTGTTGTCTGAGCACATGCTTAGAAGCTAAGCCAGTAGGTTCTTGGACAGGAGACCACCAGGAGATCTCACCCCTTGCCATTGTTGTCCTTCCTTCTTTTATTTGGAACACTCCACTTGCTCCTGGCAATCCAGAGGCCTTCCCAGAGAAGTTTTGGTGTTTCCTAGAACGCCACTCTGGCAATGTTTGACAGTGCTACAGGCACCCGGGAAGGGGGGGGCAAAGAAAGGGAAAGAGTAGCATTCATGCAGCTGGGAGCACCCAGTCTGGGCAGAGGTCATTGTGCAGCAGCTGCTCGTGTGTGTTCCTGGAGCAGCTGGGTGGCCAATCCCAGCGCAAGGGGATCTCTGCCATGGTGGGCCCGCTTAGCAGACCGGTCCTGGCAAGAGAAGCACTCAAAACGGAGGCGGGACTCGGTCTGGTGACCAAAGGCCGCCTTCGTCTTCCACCAGATGTTTGGCAGTGCCTCATGTCTGCAGCTCGTCTGGGTGATCGAGAAAACCACTTTAGGTACAGCTGGAGAGCAGAAGCTGCCCCTTGCCACCCGATCAGTGAATCATGCTTTGCAGAAACCTGTTAAAATGTGGAATTTACACTGAAAATTGTGCAGATCGATAGCTGGAATCCTCTCTTTTAGTTCATTTAGTTGCTTTGGCTGGGTTTTTATAAAATAGCATGCGTGGTCATCTCACCTTTCATCAGAGCAGAGGTCCTGCTATGTTTTCCAGCTTTTTGTACACAGCCTCATTTCCACAAAGCAAGGTCTGGTTTCCTCTGGGCCTCTCAGCAGAGGACAGCTTGCTCCACGTTCTGCCCTACGGAAACAGGACTTGTCAGCGCTCCACTTCCTTATTTTACCTCACGACGTACGTAGCTTTGACTCTGGTCCACCATTTGAGAAAGTCACGTTTTTACCAAATACTGCAAAAACCAATTTGTACAGAATTAGGCTCTTCTTAAAATACAGGCTTGAATTTTATTTCTAAAGTGTTCTTCAAATGCTGAAATAAAAATGTATAAAATAATGAATATTA